TAAAAGGGATCTTTCTTGAAAAATCTATAAAATTCTACCTTTAATTTATGTAAAGGATCTCATTTCACTTCAAAGTTTCCGCATTATTGCCTTTCACCTTCATTCACATAAATACATAAAATATTATTTTATCTCATCAAAATTATTATTCTTTTTTGAGCATTAAAAGATCCGCGGCTTGTTTTAGAAAAAAAAATATTTTTAATAATAATAATTTATCTTCCACTTAAAAGTAGACCTCCACAAGTCTAGAAAAAACCCCTAGAGGACAATACACTTGAGACCAAATTACTCTGGAGATAAACTTCAAAAAGATCAACGTTATAATTACAAATCTTCGAATCGAAAAAGAGCGTGCTTTCGAGAACAAGATTCCAGAAAATCTAGTGCTGTATCCTGCAAAATTCTGCATTCCGCAACCAGCATAATTAAATAAACTTAAATGTAACACTTAAATGTGGTAGATTTGAATGCTGCAAGTTCCCATTGAATCATCCTCCCCATTAAATAATCATGCATATATTTGAGGAACTGATTTATTTTGATAACAGAAAATGATTTAATTAAGTAAAGTTCAGTGTTTGTAATAGTATTTAGAATTTTTTAAATTAATTTTATAAAAAAATAATTGGAAGAATTTATATTAATTGTGGACTTAATTTACAAAAATTCGTACAAGGTCATCAGTACTTATATATCAATTTATAAAATTAGAGAAAAATAAACTTTGAAAATTCTCAAATAATTTAAATTATTTTTACTTTCTCCCTTAACCATTTTTATTTTTTTTATTTTTTATTTTATAAGAAAAAAATACATCCAAAAATGATTGCGGGAAACAAATACAAGGAGGACAATTGGTAATTTCCGCCCGATTCAATTCTTTTTATTTTTCAATTTGTTGGCTCCTTTGAAAAGTTCATTAGAAGTTACTTACTTTTCTTCTTATATAAAGGGATTATTTGGATATTGTTGGGAGATGACTGCTAAATCTTTTTTTTTTGTTAAACAAGAAAAGTTAGTCTTTCCCGTGGAAATCAAGTGTGCCTTTTTGAAAAAAAGGAATTGGTTAAAAGCTGCTGGGGTTTGGGGCTGTAATAGAAGAAAGAAAAGAGAATGGCAGAAAATAAAGAAAAGTCGTTTTTGGCCAAATGCAATTTGCGCATCATTTTACTTTTTTTGTGTTTGTTTCTCAAAGATTCTCCTTTCTTTTCAGCCTTTATTGGAGGAGGACTACTATGAGAGGTAGAAAGTAAGGAAAGAAAAAAGAGCCGGAAGTCAAATTTTAAGAGAAAATGGGAGTAACAAAAACTTTTATTTATTTATTATTTACACAGATTTTTTATTCTCCAAAAAGCTTTTACTTAAACAAATTTGGTTTCCTCTAGCAAAGTAACAAAAAATAATTTGTTTCAATGATTCTTCCTTAAATGATAAAGTTGAATCCCCTTTTATTTTTAATCTAGAGTCAATTTTAAGGCTTTCTCAATGGGTCTCTATTTTTATGTCCTCGATCTTGTCACAATCTGGATAACGATCGGAATTCCGATTTCCGAGTTCCGACTTTTGAGCCATTTCCGATTTCTGACAGTTCCGATTTCCAGCACCGATCGACCCCTTGCTCTGGGTGAGATAAGACTCCTTTTATGAAGAAATAATCAAAAATGGATTTTTGATCATACATAGTATAGGTAAACCATAAAATTTTTTGCTGTAGTTTATTTAATTGGGTATATCTAGATATTTTTTTTATTATCCTTTACTCAAAATTTTAAATTTGATAGAATAACCCTTTAAAATTTTGTTGTTAATATTTTCAGTTAAAAATTATTATTTTTAGAAAACAAAAATTATTTTATATGTACATTTATTTTGGTTTTAAAAATAAAGCCATCGGCTGGAAATAATTTTGGGATCCTGTCATCTTTAAAACTCATCAAACTCCATTTGGTTTCTTAACTTTATATATTATAGGCCAATTCTCTTCTTTCCTCCTCTTTTCATTTTTTTTCATAAATATATTTACACCAATCTGCCGGTGTTCCTTTTTAAAATCCATCCTTTTAAACCTAAAATCCTATCAACACCTCTCACTTTTTCAATTTTCTTCTTTCTCATATCCCCTTAATACCAATTTCATCCTTTCCTTCCTCTTGAGAGGCAACCACTAACTGATATGCCAATAAGTAAAGAAAATGTAGTAAGTAGACCAGCATCTCCCCCCCTATTCCCTCATTTCTTTTCATGGAAAAGCCAGTGGCACGTTTAGTTTAATTAGATCCATCTTAGAGGATAAGGACCGGGACAAGGGAAAATAAGATGAAAAAGCCAAAGATGACCCCTTTCATCTCATTTCACCGCCTAAACGGGTCTAACCCAAGATGGCGTTTGAATGACAGGCGGAGACTGGCAGAAAAAGAGGGGAAAAGACGGTGTATATCCACCCACTTATTTGCTTTTTTCTGCTAAATTTCAATTTGGTGTCGGCACTCAAGTAAAAAATGTTTTTAGAAATTTTGAATTAAAATCTTTTAAAAATTGAAGGAAACGGCTAATATTTGTTTATTATTTATGAAAAATTTACTCGAAAATTAACTTTATTTTCTCTGGTTTTTAATATTTTTAAAAAATATTTTTGGGTATTCTTACCCATCTAGGTTCTTTAAAATTCAAGGTCCATTCACTTCCTCTCATCTTTCATCAAAAATAAAATTTTAACTCGATTACCTATATCCATTTACAAAATATTATCTCAGTTCCTTTGCCTTTATTCAAAAAATTTCAACGATCTTTGGGCTCAAATCAACCAATCATCCATTTAAAATAATAAACAAATGTTTTTTGGATTATCTAACTTAACCACAATTTCCATTTAAAATATTAAGTTATCTATACCTCCTTATTTATTCTTCTCGTCTGGCAACTGCCTTTTAACTAAAAAAATCCTTCTCTGTCAATCATCAATCATTTTTCTTCGGTTTCTTCCACAAGAAATGTTGAAACCGAAAACCAATCCCCCAAAAACCAACTTAAACTTTGAAACCAAAAATTTAAAAAAAAAAGTTATGACTGAAGGTGAAGGGTCGCCTCAATTTACTCTCTTAAATAGAAAATATTATCTGGCAATAAAAAATTTATAGAGACAGCTGTCCCCACAATCAGGCTAACATCCAATTTTGCGGTTTTGGTTGAATCCTTTACTTCACTTTTTCCTCACTAAATTCATCATTTTTTCTTCTTAAATAATTTAAGAAACATCATCAATTTAAAATTTTAACCAATCATAATGTTAAAAAAACTAACAAAGAAATGTCGGGAAATAACAGAACTAACATTAATCACTCAAAGTGATTGACAAATTACTGACAGATTGACCCATGTTTAAATACATATATTTTTTACATATAATTTTTAAATATGGTAGTATGTATTTAGTAGTCTATTTTTTGATAGATTTTTTAAAAATATTTAAACAATTTTTAGTTTTGAATAAAAAAAATTTGATTTATTTTATTAAATTTTCATCAAAAAATGCCTACAACTTGTGGTAAAAATTATTACTTAGATTATTTTTAAATTAATTATTTTGTAAAAATTAATTAACCATTTCATTTAAATTAAAACCGTTATTTTCTGAAAATAAGTAAGACTCTGAAAATTCCTCTAAATAATTTAGTATTTTATTTAAACTCAAAACGAAAACTATTGGTACACGAATCCACAATAAAAAAACAAAATTAAATTATAACAACTAAATACATATAAACAATTTTATTTTAAGGTTATCCAAACTGTAAATTTCGATCAAGGTGAGGAGCTACAAACATTTTTTTCAAACAATTTCCCTTTGTTTTCCTTTAAATTTGTTTTTATAAAAGATATCGCGGCCAAGAAGACAATCGCCACTTTTACCGTATACCCAAAAGGCCTGCCGTTTTGCGCCAGGCTTGGTTAAATGCCATTGGAAGGAATGAAGAAACAGTCGTTAGCCAGGCAAATAAATACTTAAAATAAAAAACAAAAAATAAATTAAATATATAATTTAAAAATATTAAGAATGAGGAATAATTAATTTTTTAATAAATTTCTTGTTATCAAAGAATTATTATAAAATATTTTTTAGTTAAGAATTTGTTCTGCACACTTTTTTGGAGGAGAAAAACATGAGGGGGATATTCCTGTAGCTGATCCACAAGTAAATTTATTAATAAATATTTAATTAAATTTAAATTTATAGATTGATACACCAAAATTTATTGAATTACCGCCTAAGGAATCGAGAACAGCTGAGAGAAAATCAAGGCTAAAAGGCAGAGAATTAATATTTTATTATTAAAAATAATCATTTTTAATTCCAAATATAATTCATAATTAATTAGGTAATTATTTTTAAATTATTTTTCAGCTCTTTCTTCTGCTCCCCCTTCAACTAATATTATAACCACAATTTCTTCCCCTTCTTTATTAATTAATTCTCAACGTTCTTCATCCTCTACTTCAACTTTAAACCAAAATTCTTCAATTTCGCGTCATTCTAGACGGGGCTATCGAACACATTTTGGATTACCTTTTAATCAAAGAATTATTCGAAAACCTTCATTTAATTCCTCAATTCCACATTTAAATTTTGGAAATTTAAATTCTAGTCTATTTAATAGTGCTAGTGATAATGAAGAAAAAAATTCTTTAAAAAATCATCCCTTTCCTCAATTCAACAATTTATTACCTTCATTTCCCAACAAATTAATGCTATTTAATTCTATTTTTGGAGGTATTTTCATTTCAAAAATTAATTTTTAAAATTAATTTTTTAAAGTAAATAATCAACAACCCCAACAACCTCCCCTCCTTCCACAACCTCCCCAAATTTCTTTATTATCAAATAAAAGTCCAACTACACAAACAAATATTTTAACAAATAATTTACCAACAGAGCAATTACCTCTAAATAATATTCAAAAGCCCCTTGTAGCATTACTTGACGGCCGTGTTCTGTGGAAATGCCTTTATTGAAGGTGTTTTTGAGAATTTTTAGTGAATAAATTAAATTTTTTAAAGGATGTAGCTACTGTAGCTTTTTGTGATGCCCAGTCAATTAATGATATTCATGAGAAGGTGAAAATTAGTGTAACTTAATTTTTAAGAAATTAATTATTAAAAAATAAAAATACTTTTTCTCTTGTAGGAGAGTGAAAAAATATTTTTATTAGTCTATTAAAAGCTTAAAAATACCCTTACCTAATTAATTAATAAAAATAATTAAAAGGTATTAAATGAAGCTACAGTTGCTCTTCTTTACCAGTCTATTAGTTTAGGACGTGAAGAATTTAACAAATTTAAATCATTAAAAGCGGTAATTAGAATTGGTCCAGGCTATAATAATATTGATATTAATGCTGCTACAGAATTGGGTAATTTTAAATAATTTACCTAATTTTGGTTGGAGAGTGAGGGGATATTGAGATGTTTATGTTTGGCACTTTATCATTATCCTTTAAACTAATATATTTATAGGAATAGCTATATGCCATACACCTGTTGAATGTGTAGAAGAAAATGCAGATTCAGCTATTTCATTAATTCTTAATTTATTTCGAAAAATATTTTCTCTTTGTAATTTTCTTCAAAACGGGAAAAAAGTTTTTTTTAATTCATAAAAATTTTTTAAATTTAATTTTAGACAATAAATAGTATTGACCAAATAAGTGAATTAATGAGTGGATCTCAAAGAATTAGAGGAAGTACTTTAGGAATTGTTGGGATGGGAAGTGTGGGAATTGCTGTTGTAAATAATTTAAATAAAAATATTTTTGAATTTTTTCGAGTATTTTTAGGCTCTTCGTGCCAAATCCTTTGGTTTTCGAGTGCTTTTTTATGATAATAATTTGGCTTTGGGTAAATTAATTTTTTAGAATACCTTAAACACTTTAATAAAATAAAAAAAATTCTAAAAAATATTCTAATTAGAACTGCATCCAAATAAAAAATAATAAAGTTTTCTTTATACTAATAAATTATTTTTAAATTATTTTAATTTTCACTTTGGATAATTCTAATATCTTTTAAAAAATAAAAGAATAACTATAAAAATATATGTAACTTTAATAATTATCCTTTTACATAAGAAAATAGTGGCGTAATAGTTGCCCCGAACTAAGATTTTTAAGGATGATTCACCTAAAAACGCTTTGTCGGTGGGGATTAAACTATCTAAAAAGTGAAAAGAGAATGATTATTCGATGTCCAGGTATCTCAGGGGTAGAGCTACTGTATGTGGTGAGCAAAGCGCCTAGCAATACTACGAGGAGGTCGAAGGTAATCCTGCCCGGTGGCTAAACTTTACCTAAACTTTTTCTATTCACATATCTTTTAATTAACAAGAAAAATTTCTATTAATTAAGACTTGTCAATTTTCTGAAAAGATTTTATATCTTAATTTAATCAAACCCTTTTTGCCAATTTTGTTAAATTTTTCTAGGTATGGAAAATGCCCTTGGAATGGAAAGATGTTCTAATTTAACAGAATTATTTAGTCAATCAGATTGTCTAACACTTCATTGCCCTTTAACTTCAGAAAATAAACATTTAATTAATTTAGTATATTAATAATTCTAATATTAAATTAATCTAATTTTTTAAGGAAACAATTAAATTTTTAAAATTTGGAGCTTTTCTTGTAAATACTTCAGAATTTGATTTAATAGAATCTAATTCTTTAATTTCCGCATTAAAAAGTGGGAATATTCGGAGCTTTGCAATCGATTGTGATCAACCTAAAAATATTTTTGAAAGGGAAAATTATGGTAAAAATTAATTATTTAATGAGTAAATTATGATTATTTAAAATTGAGAATGTCTAAAAAATAATGTAAAGTACATACATTTGTAGCTATTTAATTCCTAAGGCTGTGCGTGGTATAATGGCTCAGTCCGGTCTACTAAAGATGCTGGTTCGCATCCAGGCGCCGATTAACCTTTATCTCTAGCTTAAGAGGCGAAATAGCTATGCTATAGTCGAGCTACTTTACTGGTAGCACTGGATGGTTCAGCGAATGCTGAACGTATGACGAACCATCCCATATGCGACCCATTCCATATTTTATATTAAATATTTACAGAGAGTCTGTTTTCAAAATTTCGTTTAATTAACAAATAAGAGACTGTAATAAAGCACAATGAAATTAAAAATACTAATAATGAATGTAATAAAATTATCTGTTTATAATAATATTAATCATATTAAAATATAATTTTATAAAAAGATATTCTTTGTTCAATGCCCAATGTAATATGTACTCCAAAAATTGGTTGGTATTGCCAAGAATCACACAATGAATTAAGGGTTGCTGCGGCACAAGAAGTTAGAAGAGCATTGACTGGCTCTATACCTGAAGATCTTAAAGTAAATTAGCAAAATATGTATAAAATTTAATTAAAAAATATATTTTTTAGAATTGTGTTAACAAATCAGAACTTTTAACTTTAAAAGGAATTTTTAAAATTAATCAAGAATCTTGTAATAATTCATCAACAACCTCTAATACTACATTATTTTCTAAAGAATCTTTTAATAATATTTCACCAATTTTCCCCCCTCTTTTAAATATGCAAGCAGCGTCTTTAAAAAATTGTTTTGGTAATTATTTAATAGAAAATTTGGAAATTATTTTTAGAAGAAAGAAATAATTTTTAGGAGAAATTTTTTTTTAATTTTTAATATAAATATTTATTAATATAAAAATTAAAAAACATTTTGGATATCTAAACATTTTTGGAAAATTATCAATTAAGCAAAAAATACATACCGAGAAATGATTTTTAGAAAATGATTGTCTTTAAACATTTTCCAAAACTTTCTCTTAGAAATCAGAGCTATCTTTAAAAATCGTCTCAAATTCTCAAACTTTTTTTACCCCTTCAAAATTAATTAATTTCTAATTTTAAAGCAAATTCACCAACACCAAATATATTTTCAAATAATTTATTTCAAAAACAATTAAATAATATTCAAACAAAATTATTAAATCCATTGAATAATTTTTCGCCAAATTTTTTATTAATGAATCCAAATTTGTTACAAACAATTATGCAAATGAGAAATTTACAAAAACAAACAAAACTAGGTAAATAATTATTTATTTTCTAATTTATTTTTTATTATTTCCCTTTCATTAAATAGTTCGAAACAATATTACAGTATTTCCTCTAATAGAATTCCCCCCCCCCATACATTAGAATGCCCCCTTCAATTAGAATGTCTCCCCTTTGGAAGGTGATTGAAAAATAGAATGCCCGGGCATTTTATTAGAAGAAATACGGTAATTATCCTCAAGTAATTATTTTAGTCATTCAAAAAATTAATTTAAAATAAATTTTTTATTCACTAAAAAATAATTTTTCTTTTTCTCAGAAGAAAATTGTGCCGAATCTTCTTCTACATGTAAAACAGAAAATAATGAAAAAGAAGAAATAAATGAAGAAAATTTGCTTACTAATGATAATAATTTAGAAGAAATTAATCAAAATAATAATTTAAATAAAAATTTAGAAATTGAAGAAACAGAAATTGAAGATGAAAAATATAATGAAGAAAATAATTTAAAGAAATAAAAAAAAGAGCAATTTAATTTTTAATAATTAAAATATTTTAATTAAATTTTTATACTTATATAAAATTTTATTTTAAATCCGAAAATTGAAATAAGTATATAAATGGAATAAGAAAATATTTTGTAATAATTTTTTGAGGATTTCTTTAAATTTTAATGTGTTACTAAAGCCTAAGGCTGTGCAGTAGGCGGCGTGATGTAATGGATAACACATCAGTCCGGTCTACTGAAGATGCTGGTTCGCTCCCAGCCGCTGATTAACCTTTTGCACTAGCTAAAGGAGAGAAATAGCTATAGCCCAGCTGCTTTACTTTATTTAAAATTTAAATTATTTTCGGGGTTGTGGCGGAAAAAATTATTTTAGTATTCCTTGTTAAGTATGTAGACTAAATTCAGAAACCACTCATAGATAAGAAAATATTTGTAATGCTTTAAAATCTAATAGTTATATCATCAGGCGCCAGAAATTCTTGTTTAAAGCATCATAACAATCCATAAAAAATCTATCGTATTTTATTAAATAAAAAAACTCCTCTTTATCCCACCAAGTAATCTTCACAATCTATTAAATAGGCACTTTAATATTTATTAATTATTTATTAATATATTTAAGGTAACATCCGTGAGATCAATTTTAGATCGGTTGCTTTTTTGTGAAAAACGATGCCCAGACAATATAGACTGATTTTTAATTTTTATTTTATAAATTATTAAAATATTAATTAAATATCTTTAATAATATTTACTTTTTTTAAACTTTTTACTCCCAGACAGATTTTTAAATAGCAGAGACATACAAAATAAATATTGTATGTCTGGCAAGGCATTTTGAGGCACTACAAGTGCCTCTATCCTTCCCTCCCTCCCTCCCTCTTCCCTTCCTTCCCTTCCTTCCCTCCATTCCCTCCCTCCCCCTCTCCCAGGCTAAAATAAAAAATTTATTTTTATTAAATCGTGACACTTTAAAGAAAAATTAAAATCAAAGTCTTTTGCCGAGAAATTATTGCCAAAATCTTGTAAACAGACAAACTACAAATGTATTCAAAATTTGTTATTCAATAAAATTTATTTACCTATTTTCTATTCTATTTGAATTAATTTTTAAATTAAAATAATTTTTCAATAATTCTTTTAAATTAATATTATTAAAAATTCTTTTTATTTTAATGTTAGTTTTATCTTTCTTTGATTTATTTTTATTAAGAATGCTTCTTCAACTTATTTGAATTAAATATATTTATTTTTAAGGAAATATACAAAATTATTATTTAAATACATATGTTATTAATTATATTATTATCTACAATTATTCTTTTATTTAATTTAACTAATTCTTTTTTATTACGATTTAATATTGAGGATCAAGGGCATTTTTTTGAATTTAAAAAAATTACCTGTGATAATCAACTTGTACAAAACCCAGATTTACATGCTTATTTTCCTATTGGTTTTCAAAGAACATGCCCGAGTCTGTCAGAAAGCCGTTGTGGATTAGGTCAACATATGCGTCTTCAATTACATTATAGAATCCATAATTTATTTATTTATCAGCAAACCACAGGTATTTTAAAATACATTAATGTGGTGCAAAAAAAAACATAAAAATAAATTAATGTCAAAAAAAAAATATATATATGTATGAAACAACATCAAAAAAAAAAATTATATGTATTAAAAAATGAAAAGTAAACATAGATAAATTTAATATTATACCTTAAAAAAAACCACCAATAACGCTCAAGGTTAATTTTACTAGAATTTTATTTAGATTCTGATACTTTAATGAAACTTCTAAATTTTTTGGGATCATTTATTTTAAATGATTCATTTGGAAGTTTATTCCATTTATTTACCACTCTATGAAAAAAATTATTTTTTGTTCTATTTGTGTGTTTTTTAATCCTTAAAAGTAGGGGCCTGCGAAGTGATCTATTTGAAAAATTAAAATATTTTTGGGAATTAAGAGATGTAAACCCTTTTATAATTTTAAAAGCGGTGGAAAGATCGGCAATTTTCCTTCTATCTATTAACTTTTCGAGTTTACAGGTATTTAATCTTTCTTCATATGGGACCTTGATTAATCCACATTTTTTGTAAATATTTTTAGTGAATAATTTTTGAATTCTTTCAATTTTCTCTATTTGATATTTCATGTGTGGATTCCATACTTCAGTTGCATATTCTAGCTGGGGTCTTATATAAGTTTTATATATATTAACAAGGAGATTTAAATCTCTAGATTTAATGATTCTTGTTATCTGATAACTTTTTAGATATGCATTTTTTATAATCATATTTATATGATTATTAAAAGACATTTTAGAATCTATTAAAATTCCAAGATCGCGAATACAATCTGTTTCTTGTATTTTTAATCCATGAATGTTATACTCTCTTTTTAGGTTATTTTTTCCTAGATATAAGGCAAAGCACTTATGACGAGATATTTCTAAACCATTTAATTCTGTCCATTTTTCAAGTATCCATAGAGCCTTATTAAGTTCATTCCTTTCTATGCCATTTTTATGAGCTACATATAGTTTTACGTCGTCTGCATATAATTTTATTCCAATGTTTTCAGGGATTTGATTTGGAAGATCATTTATAAAAATAAGAAATAGAAGAGGTCCTAGGACACTACCTTGAGGTACACCTGAGAATGTTTCATATTCGCAAGATATTTGGGCACCAATCTTAATCTTGAAATTTCTATCAGATAGAAAATTTTTAAGAAATGTATAGACTTTTCCGCTAATGCCTGCTTTTACTATCTTATCTAGAAGAATATTTGTCGGTACAGTGTCAAATGCCTTAGCAAAGTCGATGTAAATGATATCTATGTTATATCCATCTTGTATTGCGTTATAGAGATCATCCATTGTGGATAATAACTGTGTTGTTGTGGATCTTGATTTAAGAAACCCAAACTGATTTTGATTAAAGAACTTTTTATCTTCTAGGTATTTTATTAATTGTTTTGCGATAATTCTTTCTAAAATCCTACATAGGGTGCATGTTAACGATATTGGACGATAATTAGTTGGATCTGATTTTTCCCCTTTTTTATACAAAGGTATAATAAGTGAAGATTTCCAAATTGATGGAATTTGCCCATTATCAATAATACATCGGAATATATCTGTGATTATTTCTGCAAGTGAATCAGCGCAATATTTAAGTAATATATAAGGTATATTGTCTGGAGAAGTAGAATTCTTGCTAGGAAGTGATCTGAGGATATCCCACACAATACTAGTACTTAAATCTATGTCTGTAAACTTTGATTTTGGAATTATATTTCCATCGCTATCTGAGAGATTAATGTTTCTTTTTTGAAAATTCTTTTGAAACTCTTTTCCCAAAATATTACATTTTTCTTTATCGCTGAAGTAGAATTTATTTTCTTTATCAATTAGACAGGGAATATTAGTATCTTGCGTAAGTCTGTTTCTAATATACCTATGTATCGAATTTCCACCTTTATTGATTAATTTTTCTTCATTTGTGTTATTATGAATTTTTAATTGCTTTTTCAGGTTTCTTGAAACGATTTTATACTTAAGTCTTAGATTGTTATCATATATTCTTTCTTTAAGTAACCTAAATAATCTAAGTTTTTCTTTGTGTAATTCCTTAATTCTTTGAGGGTATGCTTTTCTTATTATCTTATTTAGTGCTCTCATCGGTATATATTTGTTATAAAGACATAGAAGTTCTTTTGTTAGATAAATGTATTTATCTTCCACTGTGAATTTCGTTAATATACCTAGGTCTAAATTATTTCGGAATATAACTTGATTTAAATTAATAAAATTGGATTTACTAAAATCTCTTACGTAAATCTTGGGCTTCCTTATAATTTTAACACGATAATTTAGCTCAAACTCTATCATTTTGTGATCGGAAGTTGAAAAATTCTCTCTAACTTTAATAGTTCTAACAATACCGGAATCAGATGTAAGTACTAGGTCAAGGATTGAATTTTCCCTAGTTGGTTCAGTAACAAGTTGGTTTAATTGATTCTGACCTATAAACTCTATAAAAATATTCGCGATCTTGTCATAATTGTCAATTATTTCGTTGGAATCCCAATTTATGTGTCTAATGTTGAAATCTCCACATAATATAGTTTTTTGATTGATTTGATTTAGAAGGAATTTAAATAACTTTTTTGTATTAAGAATTGAACTATTTGGTGGTCGGTAAATGTTTATGATGTTAATTTCTTTTTCAAGCAATAATTTTATATGTACAATCTCTGATTGAAATTTAGAGCCAGAGAAAATGATTTTAAAAGGTATGTTATTTTTTACTAGGATTGCCGATCCTCCACCTCTTTTTTCTATTCTATTAGCTAATATGACTTCATAATTACCCCTATATGATAGTTCAGAATTTATTATATTATCTGTTTTGAGCCATGTTTCATTGATTAATATGAGCTCTGGTTTAGAATTTTCAATTAGGTAATTTAAATCTGGTATTTTATTAGCAAGCGATCTAGAATTAAATAATATACATCTATATGAGCAAATATTCCCGTTTGTTATTTTTGTTTGTGGTTTGCCTGCGTGCCCCTATTTATTTTTAGTTGCCTTGAGCGGTTGTGGTTTTTTAAGTGTAATGATTGACAGATCGACAACAATGTACTTAAACATGTTCTCGACCTGATTCATAGAAAATGCTTGCTTACGCAAGTTATACAAAATATTTAATTCGTTTCGAGTCATATCACGTCTAGCAGTTAAAAACTGCGGTAAAGATGGATTTTGCTTAAGACATTTACGAAAATTATAAAGAAAAATATCCCTAGATTTTTTATTGTTAAATGGGATTTTGACAATTCTTGGTTTCTTATTTATATCATTTGATAACTCACGAGATGGATGTCGATGAATGTCATTTTCCAAAAGATCAGAAGAGACTCCACAATCAGAAGCAATTTTTTAACTAAAGAAGTGATGTCAACATTTTCAGGGGCCCGTTCAATAACAACTCTTTTTGATTTAGACTTGATTTCTTCGGCGTCCAAAATCGCGTTGTTTATAATATTGGTGAAATGAGATTGTTCTAGAAAAGGATTATGTTGTTTGTTGCTAGCGGAAAATGGGTCTCCAAATCGATATTTAGGAATTTTTTCTGTTGTTTGTTGTTCTGGTTCATTTGTAAGAATGTCCTTACAAAGATCCATTACAGAATTTACAATTTCAAGCATTGCTGCAGCCCAAGGTGGCATGTCATTAGAAAATTGTTCGGAAAAATTAGAAAGTTTTTTGTTTAATTGATGAAGTTTTAATTTTTTGTTGTTAACATTAGAGGTAGTGAGTGGTGTTGACATTGATGTTGAGGTTAAATTATCGATTTCCATAAGTTATTTAACTTTTTTCTTAAACCTTAAACTTGGGTAATTAATCCAGTGCAATATATTGTAAGTAGGGACACTTAAAAATATTGTAAAGCATATAGCTATTTAATTCCTATGCAGGAGGCGCGTGTGTAATAGATAACACATCGGTCAGATCAACTGAAGATGCTAGATCGTAGTCCTGCTCGAGAGTCTCGGTTTCCGTGTCGAGAAATTTCTCAGGGTTTTGAACGTTTCGGTCTCGATCTCGGTGTTTTAGTCTCGGAAAACGGGAAAAATTTACACCCCTAATTCCAGAAGAAGTGTGTGGTTAAGTAGTTAAGTTGATGGACCTTGAAATCTTTTAGCAGAGGGTTGGGTTCGAATACATTATCGAAAAAATGCAAATCGAAGCCTGGACGTCCTGGCATGGTTCGATTCAGCTCGTCAAGGCGCATCGAACCATATCAAGGCGCCCCGGGTTCGACAATTTTGAACGCAGCTATAGCCCCTGGTATCTATCACACCGCGACCGTAACTATTCAGTGGGAATTTATAATTTTACCCAAAAATCAGTTGTTAAATTTAAAGCCAAAAATGGAATCACATTTTATTTTAAATATTTCTATTTATTTAGTCAATTTCTTTTCAATGTCCAATTGATCAACACAACCATCTAAATAACATATTAGCCTCGATTTATAATTTACTTATATTTTTTGATGGCAATGTTATTTTGCATGTAAATTGTAACTTTGGAGGAAATCATGTATATAATCCTCAACAAATTCTTCTCTTTAATTCTTTTAATGAATATCAAAGACAATCAGAAATTATTAATTTGTTAATTAATCATTACCATAATTTTGAAGAATTTCATCATCATCAACACAATATTCATCATAATAATAACCAAAATTTAGTTAATATCCCCCCTCACCCTCACCACCAAGTTCAAATAAATTTAATATTGGATCAAATAAATGAAGGAAATAATTTATTAAATAACATGTTACTACAAATTCAACACCATGGACATAATTTTTATCAACAAGTGGCTGCTGGAAATATAAATTTTCAATTAATATTTGATAATTTTCAATGGCTAAACAATTTTTATATGGAAAATAATAATTTATTAAATCACATTAATGCACTAAATGCAGAATTACAAGCAATAATGAACCAATTAGATCAAGGAAATGATGACCATCAACAAAATCAAAATAATAATCAAGGCAAAAAATAATTATGAAATATAAGAGTTTGCAAAAGTTTAGCAGCCGGGCAGGATTGAACCTGCGACCTCCTGACATTTATCGCTAGGCGCTTTCGCTCACCATATGCAGGAGCTCTACCACTGAGCTACCGTGGCATCGACTAATGCTTTCTCCTTTATCCTTTTAGCTTGTTTAACCTCCGCCTAAGCATTTTAAAAGTGAATCATGAGGCGTGTAATATGAGGTGTGTCCGACCCTAGTCCTTCTATGGACTAGGACAACCGGAGCCTTCGGCGAAACTTACCTATTTAATACTCTCCCCAATCCCATCCCCCAATATTACACATATATAAGAGGATTATTCTTAATAAAATTTTGTTTTTATTTTAGAACAAAATGATGAAGATGATGATGACAACGATTCTGTTATTACCGATGATAAGGTAAACGACATAAAAAATTATTAAAATTAATTCTTATTTAGTAAGACAAATGATTCAAAAATTGAAGCATATTTAAACAATTATAGTTTTAGAAACAAATCATTGAGGAAATCATGCATATAATCCTCAACATGTAGAAAAAATAGAAAAATTTGTTTGACATTTTTTAAATTAGAGATCGGACTGGGAGGGTCAAACGAGAATCGAGATCTATATAACCAAGATTTTTGATCGAGATCCGGTCTCTAATTTAAATATGTACCAGGGGTGTGCCGAAACAGATTTTAAAAAGCGAAAGGCGAAAGTTCAAAAATCCGCGAAAGGCGAAACTGTCACACCCCTGATATGTACCACTTTCTTCACAAAAATATTGTTAAAAATTTTAACACAAAATTTATTAAAAATATTTTTACCAAAAAAAAAGTTAAATTCATTTTTTCCATTTAAATCGTTAATAAAATGAAAATTCAAAATAAAACAAAAATTAAAATATAAATCAAAAGAGGCGTTCTACAGGCGGCGCTTCAGGCGACAAACGAGGACGCTTTGCATGTAAATATGTGTTGCTATATTGTTGTAAAGCTGAAGTTGGAGAACCAAAACGATTTTTACCTCCAACCAAATTACTTTCCTATAAAGTTAACATTAAAAAAATATTTTTCTAGAATAAATTGCCTGATAATATCGAGAACTCGAAGCCGAAGCAAAATCACGTAAACTCATCAAACTTCTCGAAGCACTTTCTCCACTCGAAGGTGAAGGAAAATATGGAGATGGATTTTTAGCAGAAAATGTTCCATAAGGATCATTAATACGCTAAATAAAAAATTTTTTAAATTCAAAAAATTATTTATTTTACATCAAATTCATTTGAAGAAAAATGTTGACGCCAAGATTCTCGTTCAGGTTTCAAATCACTCAATGCTTGAATTTTACTTGCAGAAGAAGAAATAAACGAAGCTGTTTGTTTTTTCCAATTATTATTATTTTCTTCAACTCGAGGAGTGTTAAAATAATTAAGTAAAGGTGTTGGTTTAGTATTTGTTGGTTGTTGAACAATTGGAGTAAATCGAGGTTGGTCTGATTGGGAATCATTCCACAAATGTTGCCCCATTCCTGGTGTTGTTAAAACAGAGGAAACTACTTGTTTCTAAAAAAATATTAAATTTATTTAAATTTTTGTAAACAATAATCTTGCTTGTATATATTGTTGGAGCTGTTCATAGCCGGGATTCAATTTTGGAGAATCACCGATATCCTATATTTTATTGTTAGTAGATTTTTAGTAAAAAATAAAGGCAAATATGTGTTAATTTAAAAAAGGATAAAAATTTGAAGATAAAATTTCCGGGGGTATAGGAAAAAAAATGAAATACAACAAAAATCTTTCCCGTATAAATAAAGAGGGGGAAAACTCCCAAAATGGAAACCGATAAAATTTATAGGGAAGGATAAAAATGGCCGAATTTTTCAAACAGTTATTCCTCATAAATGCGTAATAGAAAAGCACAAAAATATTTTTATTTACCTGAACTTTTGTCTGACGGCCAAGAAAAGACATCTCACGCTGCTCAGGACGATTAAAAAGATTTTTGGAATTTCTATAAAATTTAGAAACAGCATTAATATATTCTCTATTTTTAGAGTCAATAAAATTCAATGTTGGAAGCTTTTGATTCTAAAATAAAAATAAATTAAAATAAAAAAATAATTAAAAATAAAACCCATTTTTTCATATCCTCATCAAAAATCTTTAAAGAATCGTCACTGAAACCATCTCCTGAAGATCTATATAATTGCTGTAAAGTCTTAGCCTCCAAATTCTTAAGATGAAGCCGAATATCAGTCAAAACATTTCCTCTAATTCTAAAAAATAAAATAATTTATTTTCGATTTTCTAGTCAAAATGTTTTTAATTAAAAAGTAGAAAAGGTAAAAAATTATTGTTAAATTTAGATAATTGATATAATTTTATGTTCGACACTTTTAAACTTCTTTTAATGAGAATTTCAAGATTACACTGGGAAACAAATTTTGTAGTAATTAAAAAATTTAATTCAATCTGAAAGTAATATACTTAATAGAGAATCTAATAACATAGAAATAAAATATGAAACCAAACACAGGGTTGATATTTTCACCCCACAATAGATACGACCTTGAAAAACCCGAACTAATTTCCCTAAAATCAAAAAATAACCTGTATGGAGTACCTCCCCAACTAACACCAGTTATCTGATCAACATAAAATTGATGTTCCGAAGACTAAATTTTTTTAAAAAAAATATTTTTTCTTTAATAAAAAAAAACCTTTTCAGGACGCCTTGCACCTTTAAATTAAAAAAATAAATTCAAAAAACTTTCAAAAAATACCAATTCTAACATAAAATCCTTTAACAACTCGAGCAAGTGTTTCTTTATCCCAAGACATCATATCAAATATTTTATTTTTTGACATTAAACATTTACGGAACTAAAACAAAAAAAAATATTTTTTTTTAATTTTTAAAATAAACAAACATTTATTGTTGTTAATTTCCCATCTTTTGTTTGCAAAGAAAAAGGTTCCCTCGTAATAACCTCGTCAGATTTATTCACTAAATTGTTATTAGTTTCATCATTTTTAATTTTTGATACAGAATTTGAAATATTTGAACCGTTGACTGGTAAAGACTTTAAAAAATTATTTTTTGACGTTCAAAAGAAAATTTGTAAAATTACTTCTGATTTGTAAGGTTGTGGAGGTATTCCCAATACTTTTGTTAATTCAGCATATTTTTCACTAACAAATTCATTTATAGGAAGAGGATCATCCTAAAATTTAAAAAGAAAATTTAAGAAAAAGATTAGAACGGAAAAATGAATAAATAATTTCTATAAAATCAAATAATTTTCTAACTTTTAAAATTTTAAAGGAATCAAAAATCTTTTAAATAATTTAACGCTAGAAACAACAAATTAAGGAACCGAACCAGAGAACTTCCCAAAACCAGAAACATAGAAACGGAAAATAATAAAAATTTTTGTAAATCCCTTAATATTTCCCAAAGAAATCTTCAAAGAACAACCAAAATTTAGTTTAAAATAAAAAACAACCTCATCATTTTCATTCTTTTTAACCCATTCTTTAAATTCTTTTTCATTAATTTTCGTTGAACTCACAAGACGAATAAGTGCAGATAAGGAAACAGTTCCCATAAATTTTAATTCCAAAACAATATCTGCAGGCCTGTTCTTTTTTTGCTCGTTTAATTTGACACTCATAATTTTATCAAGCTATTAAATAAAGGAATTAAGCAAAAATTAAAGAAAAAGAAAACCTCAAAGCCAGTTTCAGAACCACCTGAGGACGTCAAACGAACAAAACAACCAGTCAACAATTTAACTAATGGTTCTGAATCCTCAAAATTACTCAATTTTTGAAGATATTCACAAATTAAAACACAATTTTCCAAATCTTTTGCTGTTTTAACAGGCAATTTTGCACGTTTAGCTTTTTCTTCCTCATCTTTCTGAATTCTTTCCAACTCCATCATTGAAGGCAAATTTTCTGCTTCATTCAAAGCAAGTTGAAGTTCAGCAGCTTTATTTTGAATATCATCCAATGTTGGCAATTTTTCATCCTAAAAGAAATTTTAGAAATTTTTCTAATTCGAAATTTTCTAAAAAAATATACCCAAGCCTTCATATCTTCAATCCAATTTCGAAATCCTTGTTCAGTAACAGTCGTAAAACTTTTCATCCAATTTATAATATACCGGCCATAGAAAGGCAAAACCAATTGATAATTAACTCTGGCAACATTTTTAATTTTGTAATTACGAGGCCCTTTAACACAATCAAGAACTCGAACAATATGATATTGACAGTCTTTTGGCTAAAATCAAATAGGTAATTATTAGGGGAAAATAACCACTAGTGAGTAAATTGAGGAAAATCCTATTCTATTTTAGTGTCAATCATACGTGGGTGAAACGTTTCGTTTCGTTGTTTCGTGGGTTTTTTGAATAACGTCGTTCCGTTACGAAACACTTTTTAATTTGTTTAGTCTCGTTTCTTAACGAAACGATTTTTAAAAAATTTTGTTTCGTCCAAAAAAATTTTGAGTTTCGCCCAGGTCTGGTGTTAATGGAAAAGAGTAAATATAAACGGTTCAGTTTCTCTCTCTCGATAATTATCCCTCTAAGCGAAAAAAATAAAAGAAAACCTTATTTTTACGAATTGCTGTCATACAAACAAAACATCCTACAACCACTTGACGAAATCTTTCAAATCCCAATTTTGACAAACTTCGAAGAGTTGAAGGATTTAAAGCAATTTGTGACAAATTTGAACGTGTAAAAGTTATCTTTTGCTTGTCAAGTTCTTTCAAAGTTTGCTTGGCCGAAAGAGTGTCCAATTGTGTTTGAATTTCATTAGCTTTCTGGCGAACAAAACGAAGCGTTGGAATTATTTCGCCCTGAAAATCGAATAAAAAGATAAAATTTTGAAATCATTAAAATTAGAGTAAACCCAGGGGCCTATTGCAATATCCGCCAATTGCCATCACCATTTTATTGCGATAGTTTGCCATCGTCATTATTGGCAAATGGCATGTCATTTTCCAGAAAAACGGCAGTTTCTGTTGCAATATTTTTCAATTGCTATTTCTGACAAATGGCGGATACTACTATATGTATGTATGATATTGTTATCAAAAAACAAAGCCCTTGGCTTCTAGCATCGACTAGGTTCCAAAAATTATTTTTTGGGAATCCTAAAGTGATCATGAACAAAAAACTACCCAAAATTAAATATTAAAAAATAACCTTAGCCTCCATACAATCAAACCATGGACGAACATCACTATCATGATTGGCCTTCAAACTAACGATATTTTCAATTTCAAAATCACCCAAAAAGCGCAGTCGATAATGGCGATCAATCCAGAGATGTTGGAAACTCAAAGGTTCGATTATATCAATTATTTGGTCAATCTTTAAATTTTTTTAAAAAATTAAAAAATATAAGATAATGGTGAAGAATTGGGGATCAGATTCGTGATCAGCTTACAGAGTGGTTTACTTACAGGGTGCCCCTCCCTTACTTACAAGGATGGCCCTTTTGCCTCATTTGGATGGCATTTTGTCCCTTTTTGACCTTCTCGCCCCCTTTTTGGGAAGCCATGCCCTTGCCATGCCCCCTTTTGGTGATTTGGGAAGGGCCACCCTGATTACTTATATAAAATGATTTTCAGAAAAAAAAATAATTTCCTAAGTGTATCCCCAATTCTTCCCCATTAAAAAATAAAAAAATTCAAAAAAACCCCTTACAAAAACACGATCAGAATAATTCGAAGGCAATCCAGGAATGTTAACACGAACAAAAGCTCCAATTACTGTTTGCCGAAAAACATAAAGTTCTGAGGTAGCCAAAAGTTTCAATTGCCCTTGAGTTAAAATAATTTTCTTCATTTCTTCCGTACTTTGAATTGGCTCATCCAAAGAAAGATCATTAGTAGAAACATCTGTTTCGATTATCTACAAAAAAATTTTTATTAAATAAAATTAAAATAACAACAACAATTCCTTCAAAAATGATGAATATATATTTGAAGAGATTGGAAAAAGAATTTAAATTTTTCTTGTAAAAAATTTTTTTTTGAAAGAGATATTAGTTTTATTTTGAGACAAAGAAAAAAAATTTAAAATTGAAGAAAGTCTATAAAGGCAAAGCCTTGAGACTTTCCTTTGTTTTTAAAGTTTTCTGATAAATTTTCTGTAAAGAAAAATTTTTTTTTTATTTTTTTATTGTCAATTCTTTTTTCAAAAGCAGTTATGTATGTGGTAAAAATTCCACTTTAATTGTACATAATGTACGTAAATATGTTAAAAGAAAAAATAGAAATGATAAAATTACGAGAAAACAAGAATTGAATAAAGCAAAATTTTAAAAAATGTTTGGGATATGAGAGAGATGAGAAAAACAGAATTGATAAAAAAATGTTCGGGTCAAAAATAATTTACAAATTACCTGAAGATCACTATCTCCTTGTATAGGCGAAGCATTAACTTCTTCCCTCATCTCCAATTCTGGAGCTTCTTGACTATTATCTAGATGTGAAGTTTCGTCAACAATTTCGATTGGTTGAGTAGAAGGCTCCTTATTTGGATTACCTTCATCTTTTAAAATATTCTCAGTAATGTTGTCTTGTTTTTTAGAATTATCAATTTCCATTAAGGAATTTTGTTTAATAAAATTTAATAAAATTTAATTTTATGTAATCTTAAAATTGAAAAAGGGGCAAAAATGGATTTATTTTAAATAATTTTTAGTTTGAATAATTATAGCGTGGAAAAGTCTTTGATTTACATAGACGTTTAAGGAAAAAGTTTCGAGCATTTGTTGGAAGCTCATACAAAATTCGACTCGTACCTGTGTACATAACTCTTTTTCTAACTCGAAAATTATTAACTCGAAAACTGAAACTGAGTCACATGTAGGTTCTCAATTTCATTTCCTTTACTGGATATTTACACTGAATTCCAAATGATCTTATTTCTCAATTTTCGAACAGACTCAAATGAAGTTATTGATTTCCAATAACTGAACACTGGCTAGCTTTGTCTGTTTTTTCATTATACGTTTTTTACATAATATGTATATTTTTATTTAATTTTGTTAAAATGTTTAGGTTCTTAATTACTTAAAAGTACATAGTATCTTCATCAAGTTAATAATTCGGATAATTTCATTA